CTTGAGGAAATGTTCCTTCTGACTTATCCACCCATTGAGCCATTTGTCTTTTGATTACTACATTACATGCTGTGCAGTAATTTATACAGTATACTTTGGGTTTCAGCACCAATTGCAGGAAAGGCTCATCCTTCACTGATATCACCGCAAGCCTCTAGGCACCTGGGAAGTTGCCACCAGTGGCCCTTATCCAACTGTGCATTATTGCTTGGGGAATCCCAGTCACAGTCATTAGTGTTATGACCCAGCCCTGACCATATAAGCTTGGAGGAAAAAATGTCTGATCCCAAATAAGAGACACTGCCACAATAACTAATAAAACTTTTATCTCAGATGCTTCTGGAGATAATATTGGTCCCAGGAAACAGCACAGCACTGTCCTATCTAAGATGAGATAAGATCACATTATTGGCCATATACAATTTCTTGTATTAGGGATTTGTCTTTTTGCATACCCCAACTTGCTCTCCATGAGACACACAGACAGGGAGAGAAGCTTGGGGTCAGAGCGCAGGTCAGCCATTTACAGTATATGGTGCCCCTGGAGCAGTTGGGGTTGAGGGGCCTTGCTCAGGGGCCCAACAGAGTAGGATTTCTCTGCTTGCTGCAGGATACGAACCAGCAACCTCCCAGCCACAGGCGCAGATCCTTAGCCACAGAGCCACCACACCACCCCCAAAGATTTTTTTCTAAAGATAAGAACAATAGAACTATCTAAGTACAATAGATTAAAGTCTTTGTAGAGGCTACTTTGCAACTTCTTTTTTTTCTAAATTTTTGTCTCTAGTTTGGCAAGCCAGTCTTTTTCCCTTTAGCTTTTGTTGACATTTACTGTGCCTTATCTTCATGTTATAAGCCTTCACACCATAGGAAGAGTCTGAATAATTTTGAAAGGCACTATAACTCTTTGCATTCATTCTTAAGATGATATATAGAATTAAAATCATCACTACTCTGCTCTGGATAAGCCACTTGGAAGCACCTGGGTAATAATAATGATAGTTATGACTGAATTAATAATTCTTCATATTTGAACAGCTTATTTTATCCTAAAGTTATATATGTATACAGTATATGAGGAGACCCACTGCACATACCCCTATATGCAGCACCCACCTGGATGTCAGTTGGCTGCCAGCATGGAGCAGAAGCTGCAGTACTCGTGCAGCCCATCATCAGTGAAAAATGGGAATTTGCTTCCCTAATTGAATCAAGTGGAATTAATTGGAAGGCCAGATTATACAAGTAGATTTTAACCGGGACACCAAAAGTTTAACAATCCTATTCTTTTGAACAACAATGGAATGATTAATGTCCAAGTAATCAAGACCTTCATCAAACATCTCACCTGAAGGATGGCAGCTCTTACAACATAATGTCACTGATCATAACAGTGGTTTGAAAAGTCTGGTCCAGAGTGCAGTACTTCCTGCTGGTCCACCAATACCACAAGCAGCAGTAATCTGTGTGCAAAGATTATTAGTCCTCAAGCACAGATTTAACTGAAGCTATTCCAGTGTGTATGAGAAAGAATTGTCCATATTTCAAGAAAAAACTTATTCTTTACAGTGCTTTTGCCTGCTTGGCATCAATGGTGCTGGAAAGACAACAACATTTAAGATGCTGACAGGAGATCTTGCACCATCTTCTGGACAGGCCATAATAAGGAATAATATTGGGTAAGAGTAATAGAGTTAGTGTAATTTCTAGTTTAAATATTAAAATATATTTTTTATTTTAAATTTGATTTTGTTCAAACTTTCTGATCCTGTACTATATCATACAGATGATTTGTCCAGGTAATGTACTTATATTCATGATCTTCAAAACATCATCAGTGAAAAATCTACTTT